TTGAGACATTGTGTTGAGGCAAATTAGAGAAGGTTCCAACTTGTAATGTTACAATGCAAAGGAATATTTTTTTTAATTTTTATTTCAAGCTGTATTTCATGTTCAGTGGATAGGGCAACAATTTGCAGATGTCTCACATCTTTCCAATTCATAATCTGAATTTACAAAGATCTGCAATGATTTATCTTTACACTACTCACATTTTTGTCACATTATAATTTGGTTTTGCAGATTTTCTTTCGATAAATATATATATATATATATTCCAGTTCTCATTTTTGGTGCTTTTTTGTTTTGTTATTGGTATTTCATATAGTTTTGCTCATTTCTTGCTGAAATGCTCATGGCAACTTTAAATGGCAAAAGCAGATACGGTTTGTTTGGGGGTTTGTTTTTTTTCTCACACTGCAGCTGAAAGTCATTTAAGGTTGCTGTTCTCACAAAATCTCTCTATTCTTGCATAATTTAGGCCTGCTTATTACTAGTTCTGTTTGAGAGATTCCTTGCTAAAAGCTATGATGAATATTTTATGGGCATGGCTTTTGTTAAATTTTACAGTACTTTTAACAGCTTGCCATTTTATTTTACCAGGCATCATTTGTTACTGTGACTAGTGCAATATATTTTACAACCAGCTAAATTACTTTATTTTGGTTGCACGCGTTTAAATTTCCATTTGTTCAATAGATTATAAATTCAGGGTTTTGTACAGAAATTAAGGAGTATCAGTATAGTTGTATATAACTGTTTAATCCTTTACATACTGCGCACAATTGTGACACGATTACTCTATTATGTAGTACTATTACCGCTAGGAATTTCTACTAGTCTCTCAGCTCCACATACAAATGGTATGAGCATTTTGCTAATTATATCTATGTGCAATAATTGCATTTTGGGCAGAGCAAGGTTCAATTAGTGTTAGGCCAGTAATATTGTCATTTTGACACCAATTAAAGTAGATCTATGCATTTCTTTTTACAGTTAGAACGAAGCTACCAGAGGTTCACAGCTTTTTATGCCAGCCGTCACAGCGGGAGGAAGCTAACCTGGTTATACCAGTTGTCTAAAGGGGAATTAGTTACCAATTGTTTCAAAAATAGATACACCTTGCAGGTAAGTAATGGTGTTTCATTGTAATCTTTTAATTTAGGGGACTAAGAGTATAAATCTTTTCTTTGAGACATTATTTATCATTATAAAGGAACACTCTTGTATCCTAAGGCACTTTATATTGCTGAAATGCTTTTTTGTGAAGAGCGTGTCCTCTTATTTTTGTTTTACAAAAAGTGCAGATTTGTATTGCAATTGACAATATATCAGCAAACCTAGTTACACCCCCTTGCTGTCAATAGATAACTGGTCTTTTTACTTCCTGGTTGTTTGTTTAAGTGGGGAGTACATGGTTTGCAGAGACTTCTCATTAAGCTTTATTGGGATGTCTGATTGGACAGCCACATAAAGTCTGGACTATGCTAGAAGTGGAGGGCCTGCAAAGGCTTCAGACAAGAGATCTGTTTTTTTGCAAGCTGTTTTTAGATATATCCCCATTGAAAGAGATGCATGCATGTTTTTATTTAGAGTTATACTTAGTAAAGTGTGATTTTATTTACTTTTGGCAGTCGAGTGCCCCTATAAGCATGCACTCTTCTCTTTTTAGAAACTAAAGTGCTTAAAGGTAATGAAAATCGAACGTTTCCATTATAGTTTGGTCAAAACTTGATTCTTACCAGCCATCCCACCTCTTATAGTTGACTAAATGTAGGCCATCTGGGCTAGTCATATTATATATATATATATATATATATATATAGTCATTTTAAAGGAACACTATTGTCACCTAAATTACTTTAGCTAAATAAAGCCGTTTTAGTGTATAGATCATTCCCCTGCAATTTCACTGCTCAATTCACTGTCATTTAGGAGTTAAATCACTTTGTTTCTGTTTATGCCGCCCTAGCCACACCTCCCCTGGCTATAATTGACAGAGCCTGCATGAAAAAAAAAAAAAACTGGTTTCACTTTCAAACAGATGTAATTTACCTTAAATAATTGTACCTCAATCTCTAAATTGAACTTTAATCACATACAGGAGGCTCTTGTAGGGTCTAGCAAGCTATTAACATAGCAGGGGATAAGAAAATCTTAATTAAACAGAACTTGCAATAAAGAAAGCCTAAATAGGGCTCTCTTTACAGGAAGTGTTTATGGAAGGCTGTGCAAGTCACATGCAGGGAGGTGTGACTAGGGTTCATAAACAAAGGGATTTAACTCCTAAATGGCAGAGGATTGAGCAGGGAGGCTGCAGGGGCATGTTCTATACACCAAAACTGCTTCATTAAGCTAAAGTTGTTCAGGTGACTATAGTGTCCCTTTAAGCATCAAAAGCATTTCACACCTAGGCACACCTTCTTTTGGCTGTGGAACTTAGAGCCTCCCTTCCAGAAAATCTAGCTCTGTGTAGGCCTCCTCTTATGTTCTTCTCAGCTACAGAGAAACGGGGTTGGGTTTTTTTTTTTTTTTTTTTTAGGAATGTTGGCAGCAGCATGTTGTAAGAGATGTTTTACCTTTACATGTTTTACCTTGCGGTTTATTGATCAATGTAAATTAACTATGGTGTAATTTTTTAGTTAGATATTTGTATAAAAAGTAAGGCATATCTTTCTGATCTAGGCATCCACGTTCCAGATGGCAATCCTGCTACAGTACAACACAGAAGATGCCTACACAGTTCAACAGCTAACAGACAGCACACAGATAAAAATGGTATGGTTTTTAAATCTACCTTTTTTTTTTCTTTTTTTTTTTCTGTAGATTGTCCGTATGCCACTTAACGTTTCTTGGTGTACTGAAGTAGTTTTGTGTGTGTAATTCATAACATATATATCCAAATGTTCTTACGGACCTCACACTGAGGTTGAGTCATCATATATACAGAAAGTGCATGTTATATTTTATCTTTTACAGGACATCTTGGTGCAAGTTCTTCAAATTTTGTTAAAGTCTAAATTATTGGTAAGTTGTTTCTCAAATGCATCTAAACATTTAATAAATGGCAATTTTTATTTTTTGGAGATATTCTAGGGTCTTAAATCTGTTAAGGATGACCAGATTTTCATTGTGAAAGTTTATAACAAAAAAGAAATATTTTATTTGAGAATTGCATCCTCCTTTTCTTAGTATTTGAATTGTCTTCCAAGATTTGCTTTTTTCTTCAGGTTGCATGAATAGCAATTATTGAGTCTTTAATATAAGTCCTATGATTTGAGATGAATGGATATTTATATCTCTATTCTCATGAGCATATTCTTTTATAAAGATAAATGTTTGAAATGGTGTTCATATATTTTTACCTCAAATATTTCCAAAAACAAAAATGTGTGTGTATATACCTCACAATCATAGGGCTTGTATGAAAATCATTACGTATATTTAAAGAGACATTAGAGGATAAATATATATGAACACCATGTAATAAACGTATTTATCTTAATAAATGAACATATTCCGTTATCCATAATTCTTTTTTTCCCTCTCTCCATCTCTAGTCATGCCTTAGGTGGGGTGCACTGCCTAATAGTAGTTCTTGTCTGACCGCTTAATTTAATAATTTTTTTCTAAAAAAAAAAAAAAAGGTTTTAGAAGATGAAAATGCAAATGTGGATGACGTGGAGTTGAAACCAGACACCTTAATAAAGCTTTACCTTGGCTATAAAAAGTAAGTTATAGTTCTCAAACTGCCAAAACAATAATTGTAGGAACAATGTCCTGATCTAGTCTTAATGCTTAAAAATGTAGGATTACTTCTGTCACTCTAGCAAATAATCGTTCCTATAATATTAACATCCAGAACTGATGAAAAGTAGTTTTGTTTTTTCTTTGTTTAGTTTGGTTTACTGTATGCTGAATATATTTAATATTGATTTAATGTTGAATTTTCATTGTATTATTTGAGTTTATCTTCAAGATTAGCTAGGAGTATATAAAACCATATCCTTATCACTTGATTTTTCTTGTACATATACACTTAGGGGTGTATTCACAAAACTGATAACTTTAGGTGCAAATAACATGGGGGTATAGAGAATCATCCACCTCCAGTATAAGCATAGCTTGGCTTTGTTAGCCTACATCATTTTCATTTGCTTTTCAGTCTGCTGTAGTTCAGTGTTTAGTGAATAAAACTGAGTTCATGTTAAGGAATATAATTGTAAAAACTCTACAACAGTGTTCTGTATTATCCAATAGGTTGCCTCTAAGTTTTCTGACAAACTTTATTGATGTCTTAAGCGAAAAACATAAATGAGCTTTTAAAGAGAAATAAAGCTATTATAATCCGTGAGCCATGGGCTGTCTAGTTACTGTTAACGTCCTATTTCATTGCAGTAAGAAATTAAGAGTGAATATCAATGTGCCCATGAAGACTGAACAAAAGCAGGAACAGGAAACGACGCACAAGAACATAGAAGAAGATCGGAAATTGCTTATTCAGGTGAAATACTATATTATTGTTCCTGTATATAGTGTCTCGTCATTATCGATGCATTGGTTAACTTAGTTTGTGTAAGTCCATTTGAGGTGCTCTTTTTAATTTTGTTGTTTGCATTGATGGGCTGCCATTTGGAATGTATTGATGCCTAATGTGTGTATTGGAAGTATCAAGTAGGTGGTCAGAAAACCATTCTACAATTTCAAACACTATTCACAAAGATGAACTCCAATTAGTCTTTAGTCCAATCAAAATGCAGTGTCTGTTAAAAAATTTTTTTTTTAATTCTTTATTTTAGTTGTGCATATGATAACAGTCGCTTGTGAGGTACCCCAAAGGCAGTCCTCTAGCGCGTGATAAACAGTTTAAACATTAGGGTAGACTTTGGATCCAGCACATTTTTTGCGGTTAATAATGTTATGATCAGTATATATTTACTTTGCTTAAGCATTTCAAAGCATAACACGGAACAACATCGCTTGTATCTTTCTAGATAGAAGGGTTTTACGCTATGTCATAAGCTAGTCAAACAGAAAATAATTATACTAAACTTACATGAGCAAGAGTAAAGTAACACAGTATATAATTAGGAGTTTGCAGGCTATAATCACAGAAGTATTTGGTCACTGATTGTAACTGATCTAGTTCACTGCACTGTCTAGAAAATACACTTTAGCATCGAGATATGCATGCTTGTGAGACGTGTGGTAGGTGCTAATATGGACATGCACAAAAATGTTTGTATTTTATACATCATGCAATAAACATTTAAACATTTGTTGATTTGCAATGCCTCATTGTTACTTATAGCTAAAGTATAAACAAGTTAGGCTATGGCATATGATAGTTGAGTGTATTTTCGACACGCCAGGTCATGTATACATATAACTTCGAGTGTCATAGCTAAGTACACTTTTGCTTATAGTTAAATATGCAGGTCTCATGTTAAACATAATAAGAGAAAATGGTAAAATAAAATAAGAAATTAGGAAGGCTTGTTACTCGTGTTATAGACTGAAGCTTAAGGCATATTGGTAGTATGACCTATATGTGGGGGGGGGGTGCTGAGATATGGGACTCAAATCTTAAACAACTTAAAAACTTTAGAGCTCTGTTGGGCAAGTTAGTCTAAAGGGACATTGCTTGGCTTATTTGGCTGACATTGACCATTAGGGATAGCATACCAAAAGAGTAAACATGCTTGCACTTAAATCAACAAGGTTGGCAGGACAATATAAGCAGGATAGTGTCCGCTGGGGTGGGATGGAGGTGGTGATAAGGCAGCAGGCTAGCCCCCAATGCGTTCCCGAAAGTCAGCCGACTCCCATAGTCGGTATGTTCCTGGTGCCTGCAAGTGAAGCGTGGGTGGTGCTCAAAGGTAGTGTCCACAGGTCATAAGTGATGCTCAGAGGCAATGTCCACAGGTCAGTATTGCTTCTCCTGGCTGGGGTCTCTATGCGCGTGTGGTAGTGGACTCGCCGTACTGTTCGGGCGTTCCAGCTGCGGCTCGATTTCCCCAGTCTCTGGCTCCGGGCCTTAGCGAGAGCCCCCGCCTTGTGACCATGGAGCCTTCCAGACACGGTGGTTGGCTCGGGGGCCCGCGGGTTCTCCCTGTCCCGGGTGTCCCCACGGGTGTATGGACGGCATGGGGTAAGCCCCTGATGGGCTCCCAGCCCAGAAGAATGCCGGGTAGTCAGGGCGGCATCTTTGTACGCCTTTTTGATGGGCGCTGCTGGTTTGGTTTTTGGTTTGGGTTTACAGACCTCCCTCAGGGTTTGTGCTGGTAGGCCCGAGTTGCTCTGTTTGGGTTGTGGCTCGGCGGCCTTCTTGGTAGCGCCATGCTTGCTGCTTTTACGCCTCTCGCTTATTTGTGGTGAGGCCGTCGGTTTCATTTTAGCCTCCAGCTTGCGCCAGAAAGTGTCGAAGAGTGCTTCCAGTCTTTGCCGGGTCCCATACTGTGGGTCTGTAGGTTCAAGGGGAAGTGTGGCGTCCGCCATGTTGGGTGCAGCATCTTGTTGCATGCTTCCCCGCGCTTTTCCCCACTGTTCCCGCTCCAGTCTCGTTTTGTCTCTCAGGTGTGGACCGCGATCACCCCCGACTGGGGACGGGGACGGGGGGGGGTGTAACAGGGTTCCCGCTTGCGTTGTGTCAGCATTTCGTGGCGCCGGACCGGGGGATCGGCCGCCTCTCCCGCTCTACGGTCGCCAGGCCTCATGGCGCGAGTCGGTCTGTCAGCCGGTTTCAGAGTGATCCCAGGCTGCATGGTTGGTTCAGTGCCCTTTAGTGGGTCAGATGAGACCATTTGGGTTTCTCTTTTTTAAAGCTTTTAGGGCTGAAACGTCGTGTTTTGCCCTGTGTTCTGAGGAGCTCTGCAGTGGCACGTCTATCTTCCATGCTGGTCAGGCCCCGCCCCCCGTGTCTGTTAAATTTTAACATCAGTCAAGTTGTGCCACTGACATGGCGCTTTGAATTTTTATTTTTTATTTTATATTTTTTAAGTAACACTCCTACACCATAAACACTTTAACTCACTCTAGTGGTTATAGTACCTGGAGTGTCTTGATGTCCCCTGTTATAATCAGTTAAACTGTTTAAGAATAGTTCACTTCATTCCTGGCACTCGTGCACACCATTTCCTCTCAGCAGCCAGTAGAGTTAGGAGCTTGTGTTGGCTGCACCGCAGTGCAGGGCTAGCTCATTGACTGAGTGTATAAGCTGATCACTCTCAGCGAATGAACTAGGCCCTGCATTGCTGGGTTTAGCTCTGACAGTTTCCAGCTGAAGGGGGGCAGCACCTGGTAAATTTCAAATTGTTTGACCAACAATAATGGGGCACTCCTGGCACCTCAACCACTACAGCGCACTGTAGTGATTAGTGTTTGGAGTGTTCCTTTAATACCAGTAAAGTAGTGCACTCACCTTGTTTAAAGTGCCCAAATACAAAATAATATAATAAAATATCTATAGCTCTATCCCAAATGATAACTTGCATGCATTTTATTGAAGGGGCACTATAGTCACCAAAACAACTTAACTGCTTAATGAAGCAGTTTTTGTGTATGGGTCATGCCAGGGATGTTTCTCTGCTCAGTTTTTAACTTAGGAGTTAAATAACTTGTTAATGATTATACAGCCCTAGCCACAGTAAATTGAACTTTAATTACATACAGGAGGCTCCTGCAGAGTCTAGAAAGCTATTAACGGAGCAGAAGATGAGAAATTCTAAATGAAACAGAATTTGCAATACAGGAAGTGTAAACCTTAATGGTTATTTACAGGAACTGTTTAGAAAGGCTGTGCAAGTCACATGCCTTCGTTGAGACTAGGGCTGTCTAAACAAAGTGATTTAACTCCTAAATGGCAGAGACTTGAGCAGTGAGACTACAGGGGCATGATCTTCACACTAAACAACTTAATGAAGCTGAAGTTGTTTTGTTGGCTAACGTGTCCCTTTAAGCATTTTTTAATTGGGGGTATATCTAAAAACTGTTTGCAAAAGCTGCAGTTCTCTTGTCTGAAGTTCTCTTTACTCGGACTACCCAATGCAGCTAATTGAGAAGTCTTTGCAAGGCAGGTGCTCTGGGCAATCACAGCCTCTTATTTTTAGGTCACTGAGCTAAACAAACTCAAAGTAACAGGACAGGTTATTTGACAGGCAAGTAGGGGTTGGAGTGTGCAACTGTTAATTTACAAAAAGGCCAATTTCTATTGAAAACTGCACTTTTTGCAAAAAATGAGAAAATGGCTTTTCAGAAAGCTAAAGTGCTTTATGGGTCAAGTGTGTCCCTTTTAACATTGTGAGATTCTACATGTAACAATGCTCATTTTAACTTAATTAAATCTGTACCACTATCAGTGACCAAGTTTTTATAACCTCGTTAAAGCTTTGCGTAATACCTTTTTCTTGATGGCGAATGACTCCAGCCATTTTAATCTTCCCCCACTTTTTTTTAACACAAAAACAAAAGGCTAAAATGTAAATTTAGACTGATTTTACAAAATTCATTTAAAATGTTACATACAAAATATTAAATAGCAATATTATTGTGATATCAGAACAGAATACTATGTTGGCAATTTGTGTAATGAAGTGACTTCTATTTATTACCATTTAGGCTGCTATTGTGAGAATTATGAAAATGAGGAAGGTTCTGAAACACCAGCAGCTTCTTGGAGAAGTCTTGACTCAGTTGTCTTCAAGATTCAAACCTCGTGTTCCTGTTATCAAGGTAGTTTAATGGTCATATAGCCCTGTTTATAGGTACTACTGTTAAGGTAATGTTTGTGTAAATAAGGTAGCAAGACTGAACGAGGCACCGCTATGTTTCTTACGGTCACCTTTGTTATTTAGGAAATATATAATGAATTAAACCTAATAGACCTTGGTAATCTCTCTGGGATTCCCAGGATGCACTTTATCTCCATGAATGGGCCATGAGGAAATGATTACCAAAGTCTGCACCTGCCAGAGGTGTATACTTTACACTTCCCCTCTAGACCGCCAGGGAATTTGACCTCACACTGGACCACTGGGTGGAGGGAGGCAGACAAACACATACAGCCAGTACACATCAGAGACATAAATTACAAGCACATAGCACACACCACACAAACTGTGGGGGAGGACAAAGGACACTAGACCTTTTCTATTCAGACATGGACATTGACAGGGTGATTCACTAAGCTCTAAATTTTCCCAAGTTTAATCAGATTGACTAAACTGAGGCAAAAATAGCCAGCTGTGGCTATAGCTGAACTGGATAATTTTTTCAGATCAACTATTTTTACCTGAGGTTTTTTCCATACAGATTTAATTTGAGAAAATTGAGTGTTTGGTGAATAATTCCTGTCAATGTTCAGGTCTAGGCAGAGTCCCTAAAATTTCTAATTTAAAATTGTGTGCCAGGACAAGTAGATTGGACTTGCACATTAGTCTCTCGGACAAGTAAATAACTGACTTTTACAGTGCTCATTTTACATTTTTCTTGTATTGCTCACATTAAGATATATTCGTTATTGATAATCTAGCATTAAGAGATCTTCATACATGTGATGGATTTTTTTTTTTCTTCCAGAAATGCATTGACATTCTTATAGAGAAGGAGTATTTGGAGCGTGTGGATGGAGAAAAGGACACCTACAGTTACCTGGCTTAAATAAATTTTTATACATATATTTAGCAATTGACCGAGTGGTAAAACTTCATTTGTGTGACCCTCGGCAGATAGTAAAAGTTATGTGATGGAAAGAATGGAGACACAACTGAACTTCATAGGAGCCAATATGCTGCCACCTGGTTAACCTCTTAACACCAGGAATAGGACTCCCAACAAGCCAGCCTCGGATATACATCTGTACTGCTCAGGACTGATAACATTTCAAGCATGTAAATATGGAAATATGGACACCAGTGCCCTTTAATTTAAGAACAGAGGGGAGTCTGTACCCATACAGAACAGAAGTTTGCATGCTAGCACCTCCCTTCTTTTAAATCAATACATTTTGGCTGTACAGGCAACCATTATCGGTGAAGACAGTCCCTAGATATATTGGCAGCGCACACTAAAAGTTTGAATGGACCTAATGTAATCTGCTATGAAAATCCCATTTGTATAGTGTGTTTCATTTTTTTAATGTGTGAAAAATAAAAACAGAAAAAATATCACTTTCTGTACAAGTTTCTTTTTTCTTTTTTTTCTTCCTAAATGTAAATAAAAAGATACAATTACGAAAACGTGTTGCTATTTTATATGAAATTATTCAAGTCCTAGTTATTCTATAAAATATAAATATCTATATCAATCTGTCATATCTTCTTCATAGAAACACTCAAGTCAGTATAACTAGTACAGCAAGATATAGCATTTGCCTCAAGTCACCTTGCTAGCTCGCCTCCAGCACTTGCAGATAATTGTCATCCAGGTAGGAAAAACTTGTCTCTGATAATGCAGAAGTTGTTAATTCTGCCTTATCAATGTGGCCAAGAAATTGGCAGTCCCTATGTTTCAGAAAGAGGCCCCAGTTTATAAAACTATTTCTAAACGGTTTTATATTCAACTGGGGAATAGTCCAACTGCACTCTAGATAACTTGATACTTGAGTGTGACCCTTTTTAAGGGATTTTTTTTTAATTTTTATAAATTGCAGTATTGGATTAACTGCATTACTATATTGGTACATAGTACCAATATAACCTAGCATAATGTTTTTAAAAAGTTGATTGTGATCATGGCAGTCTGTAAATAAAGGAACACTGTTACAAATACAAATATTTATAATGTTAGTGTCCCTAGTGAGGATTAGCACGTGTCCACCTATCCTATTATGAGAATATCTATGCGGATGATCCTTGACCATAGAGAAGCATTCAGGGCTGTTCTCTACAAGCACAGCAGTTCTTGTGCTGCTCCAATAGGATTCACCTCATAAAGATGCATTATAATGCTTCTCTGTGGGGAGACTTCCCTGCATAAATGTTTTAGTCTTCACTAGAAATTGCCTCTAGTCTGTCTGCCACTAGAACAGGCACCATTTGGCACTCAAGATTGTTGTGGACTACAGCCCCACTGATGCTTTGCCAGTATTTGAGCTGTAAGAGCATTATAGAAAATTCAGACCACAATATCTGGAGTGCTGAAGGTTGCCTGGCCTTGCACATGGCCAACTTAGAGCTCTCATTCCAATGATGCATCCAGAAGTGGACTTACACCTTCAGCAGTTTCATCTGATCTCTGTGCAGTGTTTTCAGAGTCCTTGCACCATGACAGCTGAAATGATCATAGTGCAAGGAGTAAGTAACCCTTTGATGTGGTTTAGCTGGAAAAAAAAAACACCTAGGCTGCTAGGTATGGGGGTGGAGGGGGGATATGTAGCGAATATTAAAACACATCCACATTTATTTATTTTCTTCACCTGTACTGGCAAAAGTAGTGTCAAAACTCAAAGTAATGTTGAACCATAACATGAGTTGTTGAATGTTTAAGTGCCTGTTCAATGATTGGAAAAAAATGATTGATGTGCATTAACATACTTATTACATATTGATAAGTCTTTCAAAGGCATGTGCTATTGGCAATTGCTTGCCTCTTGAGTTAAGCCCCACTGAGCTAAAAAAAAACATGACACTACAAAACACAAGAAAACACAGGTTGTGCCAAATCTGAGTAGAAGTCCAATATATAAAAAAGAATCTTGAGAAATTTCTAGGCTTTAGATAATGGTAGCTATATGTAATAAAACAGAAAATAAATAATTCAGAGTCTGATATTTAGGTGTAGGACACACAACAAGGACATGTGGACTCATATTTTATAAAGCTGTAGACCAGCTCTGAGTAAAACTGCATACAGCGGTACACTCCACACTGATGAATATGTAGGTCTTGAGGGTTATTCTCTCAGCATCAGAGGAAAATAAGGAATAAAATACAAAAGCAGACAATAGTGCTCACTGTGGTAAAATCAAATATAGATAAAAAAAATAGATGGCAATTTACTCACATTTGGTAGAGCAGGAACACCGTGCAAATAATAGCGCTTGGGTGGTATGATCCCCACCATGGATTTGATCTGAAGGTGCTTCCTGGGGCACTGCTGACTGTGCAGCACTGAGATTGTCTTCACCCTCTGTATGGAGACACTGAACTTTAATCATAGCGATGAATTGATTTAGTGCATCTCTAATGAGGAGATGCTGGTTGGTCAGGGCTTTGTTTGTCTTCTGCTGACTCTCAGCCACTCCAATGCTTTCCTATGGGAAAGCATTGTTATTGGCTGAGATCACCACTTCTGATGTTAACAAAGGAGTCAGATCAGGAACAGAGCCAGCAGCAGATGGGAATAAAGGTAAGCTTTTACTATATTAAAGGGACATTATAGTCATAAAACAACTTTAGCTTAAAGAAGATGTTTTAGTGTATAGACCTGCAGTCTCACTGCTTAAATCTCATTTAGGAGTTATATCCCTTTTGTTTCTGTCCATGAAGCTTTAGTCACATCTCCCCTGGCTGTGACACACACCATGCATGGGGGGGGGGGAAAATGGTTTCACTTTCAATTAGATGTAACTTACTTTAAAATTTCTTATTGCCTGCTCTCTAAAGTGAACTTTAATCATACACAAAATGCTTCTGGAAGGTCTAGCAAGCTATCAACAGTGGTGGGGATAATACATTTTAAATTCAATAGAATTTGCAATGAAGGAAATGTAAACATTAGCTGACTCTCTACAGGAAGTGTTTCGGGAGGCTGTGCAAGTCACATGCAGGAAAGTGTGACTAGGATGCATAAATAAAGTGATTTAACTCCTAAATGGCAGAGAAGTGAGCACTGTCATTGCAGAGAAATGATCTATACACCAAAGCTGCTCCAATAAGCTGTTTTGGTGACTATAGTGTCTCTTTAAGGGAGGCTTTTTTTTGTGCTTTTAACACTCTAGGGTCAGAAATACATGTTTGTGTTCCTGACCCTAAAGTGTTCCTTTAAGTTCAGACTGTAATACAACCTTTCCTTATGGATCTAAAAGAAAGATGTGTAACTGCTGCTCCAAGGAAGGCCAGAAGGCATTTAGAAATGTTGCAGAAATTGCTGCTTTTTTTTTTTATTTATTATTTTTGCGTGCATAAAGAAATAGACAGTTACATTTGCGTTTGCAATGCCCCAATAGCCTATACATACGCTAAGACATCATACAGCGTCTAATCAAGGCATGGCAAGAGAAACACAATGCACATTTTTATATGGTATTATGCAGGATAGGTTTAATCATGAGAACAGTGCTAGAAAAACAATTGTCTATGGCGACATAAGCTTGGTAACTGTAGTCACTGAGTGAGTAAAATTTCGCCCGGGAGGCCCCCCTGGAAAATAAGGTTTAAAGGTTTTGAGTCCTGCTGTTGTAACATAAGGTAGGGAGCATGCTAACGTAAGGAATTTAACTAGGGTAAGTCTGGGCACAAGGTGTGGGCATTGGGGGTGTACTACCGGGGTACCGTGCTACCTATGCTCAGTCCTGAGGTCATCCAATGCCATGCTGCCAGGAGAGTCCATTGAGCCTTGTTGCCCTTCCAGGTAAGGGCCCGCATACATGATCCACATAGAAGGCCGTGTTGTGTAAGTGCAGAAGCTTCAAAATCCGGCTTAAGTCGTGGGGCAGGCTCTTTGGGACGGTCCAGTAGGTTCGTGGCAGGATGGTGGTGGCTGTGTTTACCGCCTTTCTCGTGCTGTGGTGCCTGGCAGTGATCTGATGGGCATCTTGTGTACGCCGTGAGCAAGGTCGCGTGGTCCGCCATTTTTGGGCCTTGTGTGCCGTGGACGCCGTGGGTTTGCCTTTGGCGCGTGGAGGCAGCTTGCAAGGTAATTGTTTGCTCTTGTTTAGTATCGGTGCCTGTTGTTGCCTACGCCCCAGTTTTCTCCAGAAGGCTGTGATCAGGCTGTCCAGTCTGGCTTCTAGGTCCCAGCTTGTGTGGTAGCACGTGGCGCTGCCATTTTCCTATTCACCTTTGCTGGGTGTGTCTTATAGAGCAGAGTTGCCTCCCTGGAGTGGACCGGGATCCCCCCCGCTGGTCCCTGGGGGGGTGGGAGAAGTAGGATGCAGGGATGTATTTGCCAAAAAATGCCACCCCTAGCTCCCAGACAACTGCCTTGTTTGCCTTGTGTTCTGGGGCTGTCCACCTTACTGTGAGTGAGTGTAGCTGTCAGTGTGTGTCTGTGAGTGAGAATGGGTGTGCCTGTGAGTGTGTGTATGTAATTTTATGTGTATCTGAGAGTGTGTGTCTGTCAGTGAGAGTGTGTGTGTTGGTTAAACAGTGTGTATCAATGACTGTGTATCTGTCAGTGAGTGTATATCAGTGCATATATCAATGAGGGCATGTGTCTGTCAGTCAAAAAATGGCCTTGGCACAAATTGGGGGGGCAAATTTTGATTTTGGGGGTGCCCGAATTTAGTCGTGCCTAGGACAGCACAAATCCAAAATACACCACTGGTAGGGTGTCGATGTGTCCGCACCATCAGGGTCAGGACGAGGAGATCGGCCGTCTCCCCCCATCTCCACCATCCGCAGGCCGTGGCTCGCTATCTCAGGCTCCCAATGCTGGAATCGCATGTATCTGGTATCAGGGAGCACACCAGCTCTTCCCTGATTTGGGTAGGGCAATTTGGTGTGTGGCAAGCTTTGTAGTTGCAATTTGCGTTGGGGAATGCAACAGGAGCCTGTGAACATGCGACCGTTCAGTTATCAGGTCAGGCTCCGCCTCCCCCCTTCTCCCTCCTCCCCCCGAAATGTTTGCTTTTATGTCCTTGTCCCAGGACAATTTGCAAAAAAATCTGGGTACCCGCGGCGCGCTCTGCTCACGGCGGCCATCTTGGATTATCGGCACGCACGTGGCACGTGGCTCGGTCTGCTCGGTGGGTTGGCTCCCTCCTTACCTCCCCTTTCGTTTTCCCTTTCTGTGCAGGTATTTGTTGTGGGTTACTCAACCCCTGTTAGGTCTGTTTGTGTTAGAATACTTTCATTCTGTCATTTACTGTATTACTGTTCCCTGTGAGGATTTTTACAGTGCATTTAAACATTTTGTCTTGGGTTCACCGTTCCTGCTCTATCATGCAGGCCAGAGGTGAGGAGTCTGACAGCCCCAGCTACCCCATTATGGACCTCTTGCAAACCCCTGTCACTGGGGAAGGTGACCTTACTCCCTCCCAGGAGTTTCAGGCCCTCATTGACTCCACCATGCAGAGGGCCTTGGCTTCGGCCATGGGATCTGTATCCTCATCCCTGTCTCATACCATTCAGCAGGCGTTGTCCCAACCCCTGCCTCCCTCTGTGGTACCCAATCCTCAGCCTGCCTCCCTCTGTGGTACCCAATCCTCAGCCGGGCCGCAAAGTGCAGGCTAAACGGAAAAGCGTCTCCCATGATATGATGCAGGTGAAACCTGCCCTGACTGACGTGATGATAGATCTGACACAGATCAGAGTGAGGAGTCGTGCTCGGATGCCCATGAGTACACCTCTTATGAGGAAGGGGGCTCCGATGCTGAGGCGGTGTCTGACGCTTCGCGCTACCTCCGGGCGAGGGGCAAGACATGTGCGATCCGCAGGGTTACCCCCTGTTCGATCCTGATGATCTTCGCCATCCCCGCTCGGCGGAATGGGACCCGCCCAAGCATATAGCTAACTATCTAGCCCTCTGCATGCGCACTCCTCTGTCCATGGAGGGGCGCAGCAAACTACGGGCTGAATGCCCAAGGCCCTCAGTGCCTGATGCGGCGTGCAAGACGCCAGAGGTTGACCCTCAGATTATTCAGTTCCTGGCAAAAACAGGCTGGAAACCCAAGAAGGGACTGGAGTTCTCACTCCATAATTGCCAGGACAAACTATTAGACACCCTGGGGCCCGCTGCCAAGCTATATGAGCTATTAGAGGCAGCTAAGGCAGGGGACAACCCCCTGGATTTTGATGAGACGATAGGATGGGTGCAGAGACTGATTTGCCTTCTCGGCAACGCTAACACGGCCATGTCGGCCAAACGCCGCAATGCGATCTTGCTCAAGATTGAGCCAAAACTAGTAAATCTAGCGGTGAAAGAACCGGGTGCTGCCGCCAAGGGTATGCTCTTCGGTGAGTCCTTTGTTAAGGACCTGGGCTCCTTTGTGCGCACCTTCACCGCCCTGGACAAAGCCCAGTCTAACTTAAAACGGGTCTTTAGCCCAAAGGTTTTCCATGGGGCCGGGAGGTACAGGAGCCGCCCGCCCAGCCGTGGAGCTCGAGGTCCCTCACGGTCTCACAGAGGTTCCTTTACTGCCCCTCGGGCCTACCAAGATTACAAACCGGCTCCTTTCTTTCCTTCACGCGGGAGACCGTGGCAGAATTGAGGAGGACGTGGTCAACCCTCATACAGACGCCCTTACGGTAAGTACCCCCATATGTGCGCTTTCACATTCAAACGTGGGTGGCAGACTGGCACTGTATTTCGATATGTGGGGAATGATCACCACAGATATGTGGGTTTTGAATATGGTCAGGGGTTTCCGCCTAGATCTGTTATCTCCCCCTGTCCAGGTTTTGACACCACAGGAACTGAGATTGCCGGCAGAGCAGGCCGAGCTCATTACCAAGGAGATCTCGGAACTTCGGGTCAAACGGGCAATACAGGAAGTCCCGTACGACCACCCGGGGTTCCTAAGGAACCTGTTCCTTGTTGCCAAGAAGGGCGGAGGTGTTCGACCGGTTATAAATCTCAAACACCTCAACGAATTCCTCCGCTACCATCACTTCAAGATGGAAGGCATTCATTGCCTCAGGGACCTGCTTCGGCAAGGAGACTGGATGGTCAAACTGGACCTCAAAGATGCCTATTTGACTATTCCAATGGCAGAAGAACACTGGGACTTATTGCACTTTACGTGGCAAGGACGTCGATGGAGGTTTACCTGTCTGCCCTTCGGTCTCTCTTCAGCACCTTGGTGCTTCACAAAGGTGATGAAACCGGTAGTGGCATTCCTCAGGTCTCGGGGAGTACGCATGATTATTTACCTGGACGACATACTGATTATGTCCGCGTCCCCCGAACAACTTCTACAGCATCTGGGCTGGACGGTGGATCTTCTGGAGAACTGGTTTTCTCATAAATTGGGAAAAATCCATGGTGACCCCGACGCAGAAAATAGAATTACTGGGTTTCGAAGTCGATTCGGTCGACAACTGGCGAGGGTAATCGGCCTTTTGGCCTCCTCCATTCAGGCGATTTTCCCGGGACCCCTACATTATCAAGCACTGCAACGTCTGAAGGGATCCCACCTTCGCTCGGGCAGTTCGTACGAAAGCGAACTACGCCTGGACAGAGACTCCAAGGAGGAACTACGGTGGTGGTTGGATCATATGGAGGCATGGAACGGTCGAGCAATCTTCGGTGCCACTCCGGATATGGTGATAGAATCGGATGCCAGCCTGCATGGTTGGGGCGCTCGCTGTGGAAATGTCTCCACAGGTGGCAGATGGTCCGAAATCAAATTGAAACTACACATAAACTGTCCGGAATTACTGGCGGGATCATTCGCCATTTGCAGCCTATCTCCAACTCTGGGAAACTGCTGCTTCCTTCTACGCATGGACAATGTGTCCGCGGTCAGATATATAAATCACCTAGGTGGCACCAAATCAAAACTACTGGCTAACCTGGCGAAGGACTTCTGGCAGTTTTGCCTCCACAACGCGGTGTGGGTTACGGCCGAACACATCCTGGGCTTGGACAACAAATGGGCGGATTGGAATTCGCGCTACTTGAAAGACTCGGTAGATTGGCACCTGCTGCCTTCGATCTTTCGACAGATCAACTATGGGGCCCGTTACAACTGGGCTTATTTGCATCCAGACTGAACTCTCAACTACCCCATTACTTCAGTTGGAGGCCGGATCCGTCAGCCACGGTGGTGCATGCGTACCTGCAGACATGGCCTCGGGGTCGTCACTTTGCGTTCCCCCCTTTCAACCTGATCTCTTGGACGCTGACGTATTTTCCCAGACAAGAGTGTACGTTGGTAGTGGTAATTCCCCTATGGCAGACTCAGTCTTGGAAATGGCGTCGGATTGCCCACGGATGATCAAGATGCGACCAGATGTGCTTCTGGATCCGGATGGGAACTCACACGATTTGGTGGACCAGGACCTGATCCAGCTCACGGTTTGGTTGATTTCGGGGGACCCTGGTGCATCTCGGACGTTCCGCCGGCTACTACAAGACTCCTGGAGAATACCTGGGCACCAGGTACCAGAACAGCTTACAAGTCTGCATGGCGTGTGTGGTCTGGCTGGTGCATGGGAAGACTGCTGGATCCCCTTTCTGTCCCTCTGAAGGAGGTGCTCAGTTTTCTGACTACACTTTTTGAATCTGGTTTGGCCTACCGCACTATTAATGTTTATAGATCGGCCGGACATCTAGGTTTTGACGGATCACCGGTTGGACAACATTCTCTTGTATGTCGACTCTTGAAGGGTATTTGTTACTCTAGGCCTCCGAAATCCAGATATTCTTCATTTTGGGATGTTAACGTAGTGTTGGGCTTCTTTGAATCGTGGCCCCTTAATGAGGAGCTTTCGCTGAAGCAATTATCCTGGAAACTGGTTATGCTTCTGTGTCTCCTTTCATGCAAAAGGGTTTCGGATGTCAGGGCTTTGGACTGGAACGCATTATCTTTCACCCCTGAGGGAGTGTCGTTTAACATCTCTAGGAGGACTAAGACGTCTTCTAAGTCGGTGACCTACCCTAGGTGTTCAGTCCGACCTGCTCTGTGTCCGGTAGCTTGCCTACGAGTGTACTTGGATCGCACTCACCAATTGAGGTCTTTGGATTTATCCCAACTGTTTATTTCCTTAAGGAAGCCGTTTCTCCCGATCTCCTCAACTACGTTAGCTCGTTGGATTAAGAATCTTCTTTCCGCTGCAGGGATCGATACCTCAATATTTTCAGCTCATTCGGTCAGAGGCGCCATGGCGTCAAAAGCTTCTACGATGGGATGTCGTCTGAATGATATCTTGAAGGCAGTGGATTGGTCTAGAGAATCTACGTTCCATGATTTTTATTTCCGCCCGATTGACCATGTTTCCTCATTAGTTGTGGCTCAGCTTTAAACTATCATAATAGGAGCCTCCGTGTCATTAATACAATTCCCAGATTTTACTATTAACATGACGTAAAGTCATGATTTTATTAATGACACGGAGGCGAGTATTATTCACACCCACCCACCCGTTGGGTATGGTTTGGGTCTATACTTATGGTTCAATCGGGGGGGGGATCTTTTACCTCAAGGTAAGTGTTCACGGTTTTTCTCTTGATTTATGACGTATATGCGTCTATTTACTTATGTGTTTTACGACAGTTGGTGTTTATAGTCCTACAGGCCAGATGGTCATGATATGTTACATTCAGATCCGGAGTTTGGATTTTACCTACTATTTCTCTGTTTTACAGCTTGATTTCCAACGTCTACCTTATTGGAGATTGTTCTTTCCTGATGTGGATATTTGGTTTGGGTCTTCGGTTCAGAAGGCAAAGAAGAGGAAGTGGAAGTACCAAGCAAGACATTTATGGACTGTTCCTTCTAAGCTGATTGGCTGCCCTGTTACTCGGCAGATCTGGTTGTACCTGTTATTATATTTCATATTTAAATTTTTTCTCTTTCAGTTTTATATTTCTCTTTGCTGCTGAGGAATAAAGTAAGAAAGAGATAGCATAATAGGAGCCTCCGTGTCATTAATAAAATCATGACTTTACGTCATGTTAATAGTAAAATCTGGTAATTTTCATCGAGCTCCACTTTGTCAGAGAATTTTTCAGATGAACGTTTCATTTTTGATGAGGATTATGTTCATAAATGAAAATGGTTAATTCGATTATAGAAAAGGAAGTACTCACACATAAAAACGGCTGGTTTTCTATACCCCCTGTGATAATACATTTCTGCTGTGCCAGTATTTCTTAGCAGTTATGCTAACAAGAGACTACATTTCATGAAGATGTGCCCGTCACGCATGCCATGCAGAATCAAAACATGTGGCAAGAGTCAGATAATTTTAGAAATAACTATGTTCTGGCCTGGCTTTAGCATATTTTCATATCTACTTTGTTAAATAACTGGGGTTATTTGTGATACGGAAGACAATCCTTCATGTGGATAATTAGGTTAATAAATATCAGTAATTCTTTATATTTAGTAGATATATTAGTAGGTCTTTGTTTAATGCTCAAAGTGCACTCCTCCATACTGATTTCTGCCATTAGGTGATTCATAATGCAACATTTATAAACAGATATGTACTTAAAGGGTTAACATTTGTTTGCAATAATATGTCTGACTTCATATTATTCTTCATCTGGGTTTAAACCTATCATAACTGGATTCACACCACACACACACATTTTAATGAGTTGGTGGAAAGCTCTTGAGAAATGCCCCTTCTCTAAATGTTTTAAACATTTGTTTTTGATAAACGTTTAGAAAAGCTACTTGGAAATTCTGCCTAAAGTGGGTGTTTCCTTAAAGTCCTTATCTTTGGAGAATCTGTGGCCAGATGCCCATGCCATTACATTGTCTCCATGTTTTACAGATGATGTGGTGTGCATTGGATCGGGAGCCGATCCAAGCCTTCTCCATACTTTTTTCTTTTCATCATTCTGATACAGGTTAATTTTAGTTTCATCTGTCCGAAGAATGCTGCTCCAGAACTGGGCTGGCTTTTTTTTTTTTTTTTTTAGATGTTTTTTTTTTTGGCAAAGTCTAATCTGGTCTTTCTATTATTGAGGCTTATGAATGGTTTGCACCTTGTGGTAAACTCTCTGTATTTGCTCTTCTGAAGTCTTCTCTTTAACCCCTTGGTGACCAGGCCGCTTTTCAATTTTCTTACAGTTTGGGACCAGGGCTGTTTTTAAATTTCTGCAGTGTTTGTGTTTAGCTGTAATTTTCCTCTTACTCATTTACTGTACCCACACATATTATATACCATTTTACTCGCCATTAAATGGTCTTTCTAAAGATACAATTAATTTCATCATATCATATAATTTACTATATTTTTTTTATAAAATATGATGAAAAAATGTAAAAAAACAAAAACACTTTTTCTAACTTTGACCCCCCAAAATCTGTTACACATCTACAACCGCCAAAAACCACCCATGCTAAATAGTTTCTAAATATTGTAGAAATACCAAATGTTAACATGTTCTTTGCTTTTTTTTTGTGCAAGTTATAGGGCAATAAGTACAAGTAGCACTTTGCTATTTCCAAACCAAGTTACATTGTAACACTGATATCTGTCAGGAATCCCTGAATAACCCTTCATATGTATATATTTTTTAAAAGAAGACAACCTAATGTAAATAAATTTGGGGTATTTTGACTCTTTTCATGCAACCATTATACCACCAATCTATGCCAAATTTAAAAAAACAAAAAACATCTCCTGAGTACAACAGTGTATGGGTTTTTGAAAACTTATAGGGGTTCAAATGTAGGGCTTTCCTCTGTTCCATGTTTGCACATTAAAAATGTGCCAGATTGGTTTGCTGGCCTATGTTGCCTTTGAGACCGTATAGCAGCCCAGGAATAAAAACTAACCCCATCATGGCCTACCATTTGTAAAAGTAGACAACCCACGGTATTCAAAATGGGGTTTGTCCGCTCTTTTTTAGTAGCCAGTTTGTCACAAACCCTGGCCAAAATTAGCATTTATATATTTTTTTTTTGCATTTTTCACTGATGATATTATCAGTATAATACATTTGAAACCCTCATATTTGTGTAGATAATGTCTCATGAGTACAACAGTACCCCTCAAGTACAGGTTTTATGGTGATTTGGAAAGTTACGGGGTTAAATATAGGTATTGCCAATTAAATTCTCTGGACTGCCAATTAATTTCTCTGGACGGTCCCTCAAATTAGAATTAATAAAATCAAATAATTATGTAGTTAATAGTTAAATATATTAGGTGTATTTATAGGTGTGTATATATATATATATATATATATATATATATAAAACACAAGATCCAGCGCACTCACCTATCCACTAAACAGCAACTTCAATGTTGAAAGATTTTATTAGTTTTTTTAAAAACACCTAATCTAGGCAAAAATAATGGGGGTTTAGTTACATTATATGATCATACATTGCATAAGCCTGCCACAACGTCAATGTACCCCATCTTTGGCAGGTCCTACACTAACAGCATAATGTCTGCTTTTATGAGATTAACCACTTACTTGAGGAAAAAAATTCCATCTGGGGCTCTCTGCAGTACAAGGCTAAATAGGGCCCTGGGATGAGGCACCTGTGACAGGGAGGGGTGCAAAACCAAGGAGTTGGCTAGACTCCCAAATATATACATATAAAACAAGGGGGGTTGGCTGCACTCACCTGAACATGCATAAATGGGGGTGCTGCTGGGGGCCAAATAATAC